AGTGAACAGAGTGTACAAAACGGGGCCCAGAACGCTTCCTTGAGGAACGCCAGCTCGAACCATTCTGATTCTTGACCTTTCCCTTCTCACCTCGACCATGAAACTTCGGTCAAGCAGGTATGATTTTATTAGGAGGAAATGGCTAGTCGGGAGTAGGGACTTCAACTTATAAAGTAAGCCATCGTGCCACACGCGGTCGAAAGCTTCCTTAACATCGAGGAAAATTGCAGAGCTGTATTGCTTGTTTTCAAAAGCATCTAAGATATGCTGGACAACTCGATGTGCTTGCTCTGGGGTTCCATGATGATGCCTAAGACCAAACTGGTGGTCGGGAATGGCATCCTGCACGCTTCTTACTCCCATGATTCTGCTAAGAAATATTCTTTCGAATATTTTAGAGAATGTGGATACGCATTGAGTTGAATAGGAGAACAAGGAACAGGATTCCCTTTTTAGGCAAAGCCTTGGCAATTCTGCTATCGATGCCATCAAAGCCCGGCGCTTTTCTAGGATGTAGCTTTTGGATATGGAGACAAACTTCTTCTGGGCTTACGTGTTGGATCGGTAAGGCATTCGGGGAAGGGGCATCAAGGAAGGCAAGAGTTTCTTCAACATCCTCGCGGCTCGCGAGTTCAAATGGCTGAAAGCGTTTTTCAAGTTCGTCTGCAAAAGCTTAAGAAATTTCCGAGTCGGACCTGCACCATGTGTCATCAGATTTCTTTATGGGGATCTTTCGTAGGGGCTGTCGTTTCATATTCCGTGTGCATTTCCAGAGGTTAAAGCCGTAAGGTTTGGTGGGGTCAGCATTCAGGAGCATCTCATCAAAATATTTCCGTTTGCTTTCATAAAGAAGCTTTTTAAGATCATCCTCCGCTCGTCGATATGCACTTTTGTCGACAGGATCTTGAGATCTCATAAATCTGCGACGTAGGGTCTCAGGTTTTAAAAGAGCCTGAGGTGGACTGGAGGGGTTTGAGCTTGAGGTTGAGGACTCGGCAGCGATATGGATGTTCCGGATAAATAGCTCGACGGCGTCGTTGATGGCGTCAGGAGAGCGTAGCACCATATTTAGGTTCACAAGCCGGTTGACTGCTTCTTGAAAGCGTGGGAGACTCGCATTCCGAGGACGGATGCAAGGCCTACGGGAAGTTTTTTGCGCAGCGACTCTTAGTTTCACTATCAATGGGATGTGGTCAGAGCTTAGTTCAAGACTTTCTGAGATGGAGAGACTCTCGGGCCGAATCCCTCTGTAGACAGCTAACTCAATGGCGGTTGGCGTTCTTTGACTGTACGGATAGTGTGTAAGCCCTCCGGTTGCAAGGACCTGGACATTTGATCTTTGTATAAAGTCTGCTAGTGCTCTTCCGCGGGTGCTTGAGATCCCTAGATTATGAAATTTGTTCCCAGATCGACAATAGATAGACGCAATAGCTGTTTCACCAAGGTCTGTTTTATCTTTGACGGCGACACATTGAACATTTGGACTTTGTAGACTATAGAACCGGTAACATTGAAGACAGGATTTTATTTAAATGGCAGAGCCACCGCGTTTCCGATCAGCCGGATGGGTTGCTTGGATACGATATACAATATGTGCAACTTGCAGTACGACCTCCCGCAGAAGTGTGTTTCACTAACCAACATAATGTCAATATTATGACATTTTACAAAGAGTAGGTATGATACTGTCAGGAAAATTGTTTCCGTAGGACCAGCGAGAGATACACAGAGTTGGTCGAGCAGAGAATCCTCGTTCTGGAGACGAATAGCAATGCAACGCAGCTCTCGCCGCACAGCAATTAAAACTCCGCCACCTCTGGAGCATCGTGTTTTAACGGAATCTCGATCCTTACGGAACACATGATAAAGATTTGTATCAAAGAATTCATTATCGAAGAAATCCATATTGAGCCAGGTTTCAACAAAAATGATGACGTCATTCACCATGAGACGTTGCCTGGAAAAGGGATTGAGCTTTCGTACGCATACCACCGATATTTTGAAAATAAATATTGAAATTTGTATTATTAGCGCATATCCGGTCATCCATGGTCATGCTATCAATAACTGGTCCAGCATCATGGCCCGAATCCGTAAGAGGCCTCGCTGGGATTTTATCATAATTAATAAAATTATTTGTAAGAACCTTCAGTAAAGTAGTGGTACGGATACGAATAGGCTGGTGATCGGCGCTCCAAATATTAGGTGGGCAGTCAATATTAGCATTCAAGATGTAACTGCACGCAGGTGAATCCACTCCTGGTAATAATGAGCGAGAACGTACTACAGCAGCCGCAGTCCATTGTTGTTGTTGATGGCGAAAGCATCTCCAAAGAGCACCTTCAGAGAGAGCACTCTGAGAGGCTCGCCATCCAGCCAAATGTGTCGATAAAAGTTGTTGTAGAAAGTCGAACGTCAGAAAGGTAGAGACGGAGAGCCCATAACTGTTAGGCGATGAAGAGTGAGAATCTAGCCGATTTTCTAGGTACTTCGGGAGAGAGGCGCAAGATGATGAGAGCGCAACTCCGAGGAGCGCGCCGATATTAGAGCCAGGCGGACGACGAAAGTCGCGCACAGTGGGCAACAAAAGCTCCAGCTGATGTTGTTGATGAAGCATCAGGAGAGCAACGGAAAATGATGTGAGCGCAACTCCGAGGAGCGCGCAGAAATCCGAGCCAGGCGGACGGCGAATGTCGCACAAAGTGGACAACAAAAGCTCCGGCTGATGTTGTCGATGGTGCGTTAGGAGAGAGTCAGAAGATGAAGAGAGGGCAGTGAGAAAGGCAAGCAGCTGCCGATGTTGTTGCGAAAACGACTCCGACAAATGAGGAAAGGCTTGCAGCCGATGTCCCGCAAAAGTATCGACGCCAGTGGCGTCAAACACTAGGGGTTTTTTGATGGCTGAATTGATGATGAAGTTTGTCCAGGCTCCGGCAAATTAGATAGGATTCCATCCCCTACCACAATGGCCCGTTCTCTATGAATAAATCTTTTGACCTTAACTGAGTTCGGACAGAAATCGTTTTTGAAGACTGTATCGAAAAGCTGATCGGGGATACCAACCTTGAAATTTACAAACTTTAAAGTTGTAACGTCAACATCTTTTTTTACAAGTTTTACACAAGTGAGAGAACTGGCATCCACCTTAAGCTTGGAGGACACATATTTTAAAAAAGTATTCGGCTCTGTATCAGTTGCAAACTTTTCGAATTGCAAAAATTTCTTGGTCGGCAAAACATGAAGATCTTCGGCATTAGGAGCCACTCCAACAACATGTTTATTGGGCTTGTTGTTGTTCCTTCCCCTCTTATTTCGAACTTGTATGAAATTTCCTCTCTCAATATCCAGAGCATGATTAGAAGGGTCAACGACCGCGGAAGCCGTAGCAGCAGCAGCCGCATATGACTGGGGAGCTGCAGATACGTTGGTAGGCCTAGGCAGACGAGGCTTGGGATTTACATTCTGATTCAATGCACCATCTTTAGGGGGGAACGCCTCCAAGAATTTATTATGAAGGCCCTGATAAAAGCGCTCCAGGGTTTTCAATTTATCATCGAATTCATCGATTTTAGAATGCGAATCATTCGCAACCACACAGCTATCACATTGCCAAAGTATATTTGGATTTAATAAGAGTTTGAGCATATCGTCCGGTGGGCTACACAAGAAGTATGATAGGCGCGACGGCACAAAGAAGAGCAGCGAACAGCATCCGAAGCGCGAAGCTGGGCCAATGTAACATCGGTTTTGCACTCGGGATAGCGGGGAAGTAACATAGCGGAAATTTTAAGCACGTCTAAGCGCAATGAAAGCTAGATGACGACTTACATAGGCATCTAAAGGTGGGCAAAATCAGGGTCTTTGTCGGGTGTTTGGAATTTTTCGGTATTTTTGTTCGTTGACGGTCTATCACTAAAGCCTAGAAAATTATCATAGTAGCCAGAACAGGTCTATTAATATCAGTAATTTCCTTAAAGCCTGTAGACAAGCCTTTTTAAAATGCTACATATCGAATTCTATAGGGAGCCGTAGCAATATTAACATGAGAGAACGCTATAGTCGACGGCTTCGACTATGAGATTCCTGTAACTCAGCTAAGGGGAGGGCGAGGGATTCCCAAGATTGCACACACCGAAACAGCGCCACCCAGCGTCGATTCCTTTATTTGCTTACAACTTTTAATGACATTCAGAAACAAAGCCTTACTTACAATTTTTGAAAATATTCAAAAATGTGGGTGCTAGATCGATTTTAGCGATATGGACTGCAGAAAAAACTAGCGCTGCGCAGGGAGCCCAAGAATCTGCATGCTTAATCCCAACATTCAAGCTTCTATAGTTTCCGCGATCTCAGCGTTCATACGGACATTGCGGAATCGACTTGGCAAGTGATCCTGATCAAGAACATACGTGCTTTATGGGGTCGGAAACGCTTCATTCTACCTGTTACATACTTCCAGACGAATCTAGTACACTTTACTCTACGAGTAACGGGTATAACAATAGTTTTAAATATTGCTACGGAAATTTTGTTTCGTATCATTTCAAAAATGCTTGGGTCCAGGCGGTAAAAATGCAAATGTAGCGTAGAATTTTGAACGCCTATTTCAATGTATCTGTGCTGGCTGCTATATTTTTACAAATTTTTTTTTACATTTGCCTTTGGGGGTCAAATGTAATTTTAGACCATAACTTTGTTCACCAGTATCGCTTACAACGCTATACAGATTAGGACCCCCTACGCCCTACGGCTTTTTAGAAATCAAAAGTTTACGTCTATTTAAGTTGTTTTTAATTGACTTTGTTTTATACATTTTAATTATAATTTAATATTAAAACCGAACATTTAATAAAACAAACCATAAGAAGTGGGATGTACATATATTCCTGTATTTGCCGTATTGGGAGTGACACAGAAATCTTTTTTTAAGTAAATCAATAATAATGTGTACCATCTTTGCATACAGTTGTATAGTAATATATCACCTTCTAACTCAACAGGATTTTCTAGCCAGCCTAGGTGGTAGTTGGCCAGCACCTTTATTATTGAACCAGCCCTGGAGTGCGGCAGCCCTTAACTTTACCATCCTTTGGCCCAGATTCGGCTGACAGCGTGCCCAACCACTTTACTAAATTTTGTAGATTGTAATAAAGTCAAGATGACCGGTCAAAGAGGTGCGGAAATCGCAGGAGCTTCGAACCGCGCCGCTTGAAGAACTGGAAGGAACGAAAGAGTAAATGTGATCAATCAAACAAACATGAAGCCATATCTAGCATTTCTTTAGTTTTTATTGTTTTTTAATTCGACAAATCGGAAAAAATAATCAGGGTTTTATATGAAGTAAACTACGGAATTGTACGGTTTAGCAAATATTGGTTTTTTTTTTGTTATGATTTCCATTTCAAATGTGTTTGCCCTGTACAACATGTCATCTTAACCACTATATATTCAATTAGTTTTAGCGCTAGTTATATTTAAGGTACCACAAACAAAAAATTCTCTAAAATATATGTTTACACTATTTAACATATGTGTGTTTTTGGGTAAGGTCGCAAATCAAAATCAATTAAATAAAATATATGTTTACACTATTTAACATATGTGTGTTTTTGGGTAAGGGATCGCAAATCAAAATCAATTAAATAAAATCTGGGGTGACACACAGTTCTCATCGACCGAAACTCGGATGCAATTCTTACGTACGTCAATACAAGTTGCACCCAAATAAATGTCTGTGTCCGCACGAAATATGTTTATGGAGACAATAACAATCGTGTATATTCTAAAATCAAGCCATATACATTTAAACGTCAATATACATATATAGCAGGGGTGCCACAGAAACTACTTCAGCGCTACAGTGCTTGGCGATTTTTGTGGCACCCCCCTATATGTTTAACATCTCCAATATATCCATTTATTTATAGGTTAAAAAATATTTTTCGTCTTGCGTCTTTTAAAGTTTTGTTCCCTTTGCAATGAAAAACAAATGCCAAAGAATTGTCAATGACATAAAAAAACGATTTGAAAATAAGTATAAATGATATAGTCGATCATCTCTCGACTATTTGGCAACCCAGCACTCTAATTTTGATTGTAGGCGGACTTGGAAGGTAGGTCTAGCTTTTATCTTATTTTAATTTGTTTGCATTCGTTTGACTTTTATGTAACTTTATTCATTAATACAAAGGTTTTGTTTATGTTAAGCAATTTAAGCATTGTTTTAATCAAAATCGACTTTACTGCAACATCTACATATTTTAGGTCTGAAGTAGCTTTTTACATAAATTCAGTACTTTTTAGTAAAAAAAAAACAATTGACTTATAACAAATATACACTTTAACAAGTATTACAATGTTTATTTTTAAAATCTGTTTAAATCCAATTACTGTGGAGTATTTTAACTTCAAATATTAATTACAACCCGAGTACCTTTAATTTTGAGTTTAGGAATTGCACTTTGTTATGTCAGATTAAACAATATAATTATTAAAATTTTAAAGTAAATTAAAATATCACTTTTTAACTTAGCTTAATATAAATAATAAAATCAAATAAAACCAAAACATTTTTAGAAACTTGCAACGGGGTTTCCCGTCAAGGACGATGAAAGAATCGATTTTTTTTTGTCTAATATTGTTTCTTATACTTTTAAGAATAAGTACAAGAAAAATCATTTCGATATCTACAGTAGTTCTCGAGTAAAGGGGTTATATACATTAGTACCCGCAAAAAAAATGCGATTTGGCTAACTACCTCTGGCTACCCAAGCAGCACTTGAAACTTCAAGCGCGATTATCTCGAAATGGAGTTTTCCCGGTTTGCGGTGGACACGATCTCGGTAAAACTTTAAGTCCGACGCTTACTTTTTTTTGCTACTTGCTAAAAAGAATTATCTTGTCACTAAAGGGAGAATAAAATTGTGATTTTATACATCCAAAAAACGATATTCTTTACGTTAAAAAACCCCCTTATCGTTCAATCTTTCGCCATTTGCGCTGTAATCGAAATTTTGCAAATTTCTTCGTTCAGGAACAAGATAATTGATTGAACTAACTAAATGTTTTTTACATTTTCGATTACACCGTTCGATAAACCGTTCTTTCGGAATCGTGTCTACCGCACTTAAAATCAATAGGGGTCCGGCAGCTTAACCATAACTCCGTTAGTTTTAAACTTTTTTTATATTTTCATTTTTAAAAAATAAAATAATATACTAATTTGAATAAAACTTTTCATCCATAGACAAAAATTCCAGAAATCTAGCTATTTATCGTGGTGCAAGTGTATATAACCCCTTATAAGAGTAAATGTCCACCAGTCTCCAAGCGAGCAAAACTGATGAAAATAACTTTAAATACAATTTTCTTGAAAAACAGTGTGTCTCCTACAGCTTCTACAAATGTTCCGATTGCAAAGCGATTCAAGCAACAGCTCATTAAATTTAAAAAATGTTTAAGTAAAAACTCTAGTTTAACTGTTTTATTTTTAGACTTTACAAAATTCAACCGTTTCTTAAAATATTTTTGAATTGATGTTTATTTTTGTGCTATGTAGGAGCTACACTGTTTACGTAGGTTTTTAAGAACGGCTTGATCGCTTGCTAGAGCCACCATTTTTTTTATTTGTAAATGGTCAAAATTAGTGCAAAAATGTATAAAAAGATTGACAAAAAATCAAAAGAAAAAAAAAATTTATTATAAATGGAAAAAAGTGCACATTCTTGGGGTAATGGACGGGAATCGACCTTAAGCATTTACAGACTAATACGAAAATAAAAAATTTTAATAATTCCCAAGTTATAGAGCGGACTACAGCAGTTTTATAGCTGCTAAAACTTTATTATTAGTGTTCAACGACAGAACGACAAATGGGGCGGACTGGGGTAATTTTGCACCTAAATACAGAGTGCGGGGCGCTAAAACATACAATTAGATTGATTTTTGTACGTATATGGGCCTTTTTTTACAAACCAAACGGATTTCGACAAAAATATTTTTTCACATTTTTGATTTTTTTGAAATTATTTGTGCGTATACTATTCGGTAAATAAGTAAACACTTGTATCAGGATTTGGTCGAAAAAAATTATTTTTTTAGTTCGTTTGTGCGTTTGTAGAAGAAATTAGAGGTCTTGTTAGAAACAATTCAATAACTTAAAAACAAACCAGAGAAAACACTACAGTCGATGGCCTCGACTATTAGATACCAGTTACTCAGCTTAAGGGAGTGCGAGAGGGATGGAGATATGATATCTTCTTCTTTGATAACGAATCTAGCCTATTGCGTCCCTAGCGGCTTGGCGGCGTATAGTGAAAACAGATGATTTGCTAATTTCGTGTCCAGATCAAGAATATACATATTTTATGGGGTCGAGAATCGCTTCCTTCTACCTGTTACATACTTTCCGACGAATCTAGTATACCCTTTTACTCTACGGGTAACGGGTATAAAAAAGGATCCAACTCTAAAAAAAACCGATTGCAGGTGACAATTACAATTAAAAGAACCATTTTTTGGTATGTGGAACCCCTTAATTTTTTTTTCTAAATTTAATTTGTTTTATTTTTAAGAAATTAAAAAAATTAGTGTCCAAAAGTACAGGTCTTAGAGGATTAAATACAACAAAATTGAAGTCATTCGGATTACTACAGTTGGAAAAATAGATTTTGAAACCCAGCAACTTTTTAAAATTAGTTAGTTCTTTACAAATTTTAAAAAACTTACAAAGTTTACGAACATTTAAAAACAAAAAAATAATTTTCGTTTAAATCCTGATTCACTTGTTATTTACCGAATAGTACACGTAAAAAAAGTTTCTGGCAATTCAAAAATGTGACCGAAAAAAGGTGTTCGGTTTGTAAAAGAACGACCCATATAGCTTGTACATCAGTAGTAGTTTCTAGTTCAGCTTAGGTTCAGTTTAACTAAGTATTAGTTTAGTTTAGCTTAAATGTGTCGCAGTTAAGATAAGGCGATCTGCTCAAGTAAAGAACGAGATGAAGCAGCAGTTCCTCGGGAATGTCATTTGTATTTTTGGTGTTCTGCAGATGTTAGTTTTGGTATAAAATCAGGTCACAGTCCGGCATCAATAGTATTAGTTACATAATTCATATGGCTCACTACATGCTAACACAACGGGTGGCTAGTCTCATGGTTGCACGATCGTAAATCGTAAAATAGCAGTTAATAATACGTGAATGTCGTATGGGCTTATAAATAAATCAAAAATTAAACTTAAGCAGCAAGGCCATCTAATGCGAATCCGATTGTTGCTGCTGTCTAGACGGTGATTCTATGGATGCGGTCGATACTTCTTGGTCACACGGGTGGAAATATTCTTGCGATTGCTTCAGCTCCTGCTGATTATGCTTCGGCTGCTGCTGATGAAGATGTGCGGAATAGGCGTGGGATCATACATAGAGCATATATAGGTTTTATCTAACCTCATCGACATCCTCGCCCTCCGACGAGCTCCGTATCGTGTTGTATTGCGAGTTGCGGCTGCGCAACATCCTCAGAAAGCTTCCCACGGCAAAGATAGTTCGGCGATGTCGATGGAATATACCCTGGTATAAGGCCTCTCGTAATGTCTTTCGGTCCTCTACGTCTACCGATGACGTCAGCGATGTCTGATGCGGCAAACGTGCTAGAAATATAAAAGGAAATTCAGAATACGTATCTTGTAAACAGAAATCGAGCCGCAATCGAATTAAAATTAATAGTAATTGCGATAAGAACCGTTCCCAGAGGGGAATTAATCTGGCATGATGTCAGATGGTTGACGCAAACATAAAACGCTTATGAAAATAAAAGAGAACATTATAGTCGACTAGCAGATACTTATTACTCTGTGAATTCATTTAAAAATAAACAAATAATAAATAAAAGTAACGTTACTGACTGATGTTAGTAATTAGTGGGGCAAGTGAAAAAATTTAGAAAGTTTATTTACTTAGTAGATCCTCTATTTACCAAATATTTAGGTCCGACCATTTGTTAATAAGATTTAAGCAAACAAAAAGTGTGTTTGCTGCATGCTTATCTCCAACTCCCTCGCACTCCCTTTAGCTAAGTAACGGCTATCTAATGTAGAGGAGTGTCGTTGTCTCTAGATTTTAGTAAAATCTGCATGTCAAATAATAATTCTTAAATCGGACCATTCATTAAAAAGTTATAAGCAAACAAAGTGTGCAATCACGAAAACCGCCGATTTGCTCAATGCTTATCTCCAACTCCCTCGTACTTCCTTTAGCTAAGTAACGGATATCTCCCTTGCTTTAAAAATGTAGGCATCATAGCGACTTTTGCACGCGAGCTTTATATTTTTGTAAGGGGTTTTTTTTTTTTGAAAGTGTAAATACCAGGGACCGAAAATAACATATATTTTATTATTTTTTATCGAAAAAATCATCCACTTCGGTTAAAATAAAAAATAAAAGTAGTAATAAATGTTATCAGAATACTTTTATTAAAAAAATCATCAAATAATTTTTATTTGGTCAGCAAAAATATAAAAGTCTTAAATTTCTGTTGCTTATCTCTCTTTGAATTCGGTTGGAATTTTTACTTATGAATGTTTTTAAGATTGAATTTTGTACTTATAAACATGAATTCTTCGACAAAATGAGACCGCGAATTCTTCAGAGCAAGAGAAACCACTATTGACCATGGTAACAAATTTGTTAGTACTGGTCATTTCAAACCATCCATGAATGTCCTAACATATAAAACTGCGAATTCTTCAGAACAATAGAAACCACTTTTGAACATGGTAAATAATTTGTTAGTGCTGGCCATTTAAAGCCATCCATGAATTCCATAAGATATGAATCCGCGGATTCTTTAGAACAAAAGGAACCTCTATTGACCATTGTTACCAATTTGTTAGTGCTGGTTATTTTAACCCATCCAAGAATTCCTAAAAATATTAATACGCGAATTCTTTAGAACAAGAGGAACCAATTCTAACTCTATGTCATTCCCGTTGGCAAAATGTCAATTAATAATTGTTATTTAATGATCAAAAATTTAATATACAAATATATCTATATCACTGTGGACGGCAGTACACGTAGTGGTGAGCGCGCAAGAGAGCGTGCGAAGACAACTACTATATATAGGCGCAGAATTGATAATATAAAGTAAAAGTCTTCGAATAACAAGTTTCTAGACTTTTATTTTTTAGTCCGTTATAATTTTGTATATAATAGTCAGACAAAATAACGGTTATTTTCGGTTCCCGGAAGTAGGTCAAAATTATTCCGGTAATGGTTATAGTTTATACTTTAGTTTTTATTTGGCAACCGCTTGCTTTGAACGTGTAACAGTGACTGCTGCCACATTTCTCACTCCCTCTTATGCTCGTTCATTTGAGTGAGCGAGTTGCGTATACATACATTCGATCTCTTATGTTAAAGTACTTGATAGAAAGGGATGACAATAAGCCTAAAATATCACTCGAAATATTAAAAAAAAACAGAGACAAAGCTATATACATGCAACCAGCAAAGCGACTGTTCCCAAGATCGCACACCACGCCACTACGCCACTTAGCGTCGATCACTTTATTTGATTATAACTTTTAAACGGATGGTCGGATTTGAACAATTTTAGTGTGTAAATGGATATTTATAATCAAATTATTTAGTTCAGTTATTATCTTTATACCCGTTACTCATATAATAAAACAGTATACTAGATTCGTCGAAAAGTATGTAACAGGTAGAAGGAAGCGTTTGCGACCCCATAAAGTATATTCCTGATCAGGATCACTAGCCGAATCGATCTAGCCATGTCCGGCTGTCCGTATGAACGTTGAGATTTCTGAAACTATAATAGCTAGAATGTTGGGACTTGGCATGAAACGTCCTCAAACGCCCATAACGCTTTAACTAGAACTTTTTTTTTTAAATTTAAATTGGATTTTGTTTTGATTATTAAAGCACATCTGCATGCCCTAAATTGTTCGATTCGAACCATTCATTAAAAGGTTATAAGCAAATAAAGTGTGCAATCTTGGAAACAGACGAATTTCTACTTGTATATCTCTATCCCCCTTGCAAGCCCCTTAGTTGAGTAACGGGTATCTGATTGTCGATGGCATCGACTGAAGCGTTCTCTCTTTCTTTTCATGCACACTTAAAATTCCTAGTTATATTACAAAGGCCTATTGCCAACCTTCTCCAAGATTTTTGAGCAAATCGTATTAAAAATAATTTTGTGTTCATCTATTTCAGGCCGCAATTCCGAAACATCAGTTTGGTTTCAGAAGCCTGCATAACGCTGTTGAGCAAATGAATCTGGTGGTCAACCATATGCATTAAGCCTTTGAGACGAAGAAGTATTTTTGTGGAGTATTTTTAGATGTCAAGCATCTGCGTATTACTTTTTAAGCTTAAACCCATTCTTCTTCTCCTCCGCTCATTTCTTATTAACAGAACCTTCCAGGTAGATGTTCCAGGATCTAAGTTTACTTCAATGCCAATACTTACTGGAGTCCCTCAAGGAAGTGTCCTGGGAGATGTCTTTTATACCCAGTAGCGGGAACTACCAACACCTACTTATGTAGATGTAACTGCGTTTCTGGCGACAAGTGCACTGCGAAGAGAGGCGACAGCTTTGGTGCAAGACATGTAAAATGATTTTGATGCCTGGGCGTCGAGGTTGAATATCGCTGTTAATTCTACAAAGTCTCAGTACTCAGTACCACAATTTCGTTTAACGGGCTGAACACTTGTCGCCTCACCCTGGACGGGACTCCAATAAAGCACTCCGACACGGTTAAAAACCCCTGGCTTATTTTGGACAGGCGGCCTATTTGGAATCAGTACATTATGGCTACCTGTCCTTCCACAACACAAAAGGTCAGGAAAATGAGATGGCTCCTTTTTCCGGGCAGTGGACTGTCGATCACGGCGAAATCTCGGCTCTTCAAAGCTATTTTAATGCCTAATCCTTATTGGGGTATACACTTATGGGGCTCTGTCTGTAACACGTCTGTAAAAAGTATTGAAACCTGCCAAGCCAAAATTTTAAGACATATGATAAATGCAGAATACAAGACTACAATTTTTCGAGACCTCAAAATTAAACGTGTTTGTACATCTATCACTAAGACTACCACTCGCTACAGATCAAGACTCGTCTCTAACACAAACAGACTTGCTCTCTCACTTCCCAGACCTATGAACAGAAGAAGACGAAAAAGATTCCACCCATCAGACAATTGGATACTTGGACGGCCCGCAAGTGGTAGACTAGTTTTAGACTCAGACGCATTGTTTGCCACACTCCCCAATTTTTGTAATGGGCCTTTTTTCTATTATACTACTTGTAAAATTTACTAAGAGTGAAATTAAATTGAGTTTCACGTAACTTTCCCCAATCAACCTATCAAAAAAAGACTTTTATATAAAAGTTGGAATAAAATAAAAGGCGATGAATATTAATTAAAGTTATAACCGTTACGGACCCTGGTAAATAAAGTTTTAGCCCTGTTTCAACGAAAACTATATCGACTTACAGCCAATTTAAAGCAACATTTTCACATTTAAGCGTGCAAAAAATTACATTTTTCTTTGGTTTCGGCTGGGATCTAAAGCTAATAGACTGCATAAAACTGTGGCGCCCACATTTTTGACGCTAGAATGCAATTTTAACTGAAATGTATTTATTTTAACGGCCTTAAATTACCGCTAAAATCTAAAATCTGGCGCCCACATAGACTGCATAAAACTGTGGCGCCCACATTTTTGACGCTAGAATGCAATTTTAACTGAAATGTATTTATTTTAACGGTCTTAAATTACCGCTAAAATCTAAAATCTGGCGCCCACATTTTTAAAGATATTGTAAAAGTGAAAATGTTTTCTTTCGTTTATTACGCCCATCTACCCATCAAAAAATCTGACCATTCATTAAAAAATTCTGAGAAATTAAAGTTTTCGCTGGTAGGTTGCGTTAACATATTTACTATTACTATAGCATATAAAACCAAAGAATCCTTTAGCCGAATGCCACTCCCTCTCTGATTTCCACAAATCACAAGAAAAATAAAAATGTTTGTATGTGTTATTTTTAATTAACTTAAGTTGTGGCGTGACAAAAATGTTTTAAAGTAAACCATTAGCTTATATGTTTAATTGGTATGCTGAATTACGGATATCTTATCTCAAGTCGATCTAGCCATGTGCGTCCGTCCTTCTGTTTGTCCGTCTGTATGGGCGCTGATATCTCGAAAACTATGAAATCTAGAAAGTTCGGATTGAGCACGTAGATTTTGGAGATTCTTTCGCATCGTAAGTGCAGTGCGCCTCGCGCACAAATCGTCTAAAACTGTGTCGCACACATTTTTAAAGATTGCAGTTTAAAATAAATTGTATTTTGTTCCACTTGGGAATACCTACCAGCACGACGAAAATTTTTAAATTTCCGTTTAGTTTATTTAAAGTTTTCAGGTCATGCGTTACCTGAAAAATAGTACAACTTTTTTGTTGGTCTTGAAGTCTTGAAAAAAAAATTTCGAAAAATAGGACGCAGATGAAATTATCAAATTTAACAAAACTTATTCGTGATATACACGTAGGACTTTGAACTGTTGAATTTATTGTCCAGCATTTTATATCAATAAATTAGGCTTTTCTAAGTACAAATTGCCATAAGCTCTGGTATTTGTGGTACGATTAATTTAAGAAAATCCCAATTTTTATTCGCCTATTTGCTTATATCCTCAAGACTGGTTAAACAAACTTTACATACGATATACGAGGCAGTGAGCTGCGAACACCCTTGCTAATTGTGGTCATGGTGAGGACCGTGGTGATCCCCAAAGCAACCCGGGCGCTCGTCGCCTCGTGGTTAATCCAAAACGATACCCACGACAGCATTACTATCAGAGTGCTGGGCAGGTAGGTCTGGAAAACAAAATATCCGATATTTCGTTGCAATTTAAACGAGAGCGAGAGTCGCTGATAGACTCCGGTGGCCAGGCGCTCCTTGCGATCGTTGGTTTGCTTATATCCTCAAGACTGGTTAAACAAACTTTAATTCGATTTTCAACGCATACGTTTAACTTTCGCAAAACTGCTTTAAGCCTCTTTAAAGGGCTTTTATCATGTGCCTCAAGTTAGCTGTACAACCTTTGATATTTAAAATTATTTCTTATTGACAACCTGTCGTTATTTATGCGTAAATTATTCGAGATCGGAAAAATGTTGCCGCTTTTTTTTTTAAATTACAAGATGTTTTGCTAATTTAATATCAAGTTATCAATAAACTCATTAATTTAATTTTCTTCAAAATGTTTTTGTTGGGATTCTGCCGTTATTTATATGTAAGTGATTCGCATAAGAAAGAATTTTGCCGCTGTTTTTAACATTTATTATTAATAAAATCTTACTTGCTGTGCTAAGTTGATATTAAGTTAGCAGTACAACTCACAAAACTTGAACTTTTCTAACATTTTTTACATGGGACTTTGCCCTTATTTATCCGAAAATTATTTGTGAAAAAAAATTCTGTCGATCCAGTTTAAATGTTGTAGTTTTAAAAAACGAAGTTGTTCTGCTAAGTTGATATCAAGTTAGCAGATCAACTCTGTTAAATGTTAACTTTTCCAAAATGTTTTTAATCAATATTAATTATTTTATTTAATATTTTTAATTTTATATTTTGTTTTAAAAATTACTTTAATAATAATAAAAACTGTATTGCCTAGCATTATTTTGCAAATATTTTTCAATTTTAAAGTACATTTATTAAGAACACTAAAAAAGCCAATAAATAATGTAATGTAAACATGTAAGTCAGTACAACTCACTAAACTGAAACTTATCTAAAATGATTTAAACTGGAATTTTGCCGAATTACTTTTAACTGGGAAAAAAGTAAGTTTAGGAATATTTTATATTCGTCTAGATGCCGTAAAGTTGTTTTTTAAACCATTATTTAATAGACCAAATCTTTTACTGGCGAATTGTGTTATACTTATGTAGACCTTGATCTTCAAAATTTTAAAATACATTGTGAGTACCTCAAAATATATGAAAGTCTCCTGTACACCTCATATTAAAAAGGTAGACCAAAATAAAGTGATTGTCCAGGGACCAAACACGGTCCGTTTGGGTTCAGGGTCAGAAGCTCTACGGACTAGGCTACATCGAACTGATTTAATTCATGAAATAAGCTACTCTTTATTGCTCTTACTCGATCAGAAAAAAGTTGACATATTAAGGAAGAAAATAACATTTTTTTTCTGTTGGAAGTTTTTTTTTTTTGGTTGAGGCCCTTGCGCACCGCCTAAACTTTAAAATACAAATTTTGGGCGTAGCGTTAGAGTGGGCGTAGCACTTTGCTGAATCAAACTTGCGCTGCGCAGGAATATCTAGAAACTACTTTCTGAATCCCAACAACATAGCTTTTATAGTTTCCGAGATCTTAGCGTTCATACGGACAGACGGACATGGATAATTCAACTTGGCTAGTAATCCTGTTTAAGAATAGGATAGTTTATAGGATCATGAAAACTCCCTTCCATTGTCGTATACTTTCCGACGTATACAATATATCCTTTTACTCTACAGGTAACATGTATACAAATTTTGGTTTTCCTAAGTAATCACACTGGTGTAGTGGCAACTTAAAAAAATCCAAATTTTTCGAACTAAAATGCCGTTAGGTCTGGACAACCAAAGCAAGGAAATTCTGCCGGGCAATGTAATTTTAAATATTACAGATTACAAAATGATTTAGATAAGGGACATAAAATATAAAAAATTATTTTATTCGTTGTGATGTACTACTCTGATTGGGTATACTAACCAGCTATAGGTGACTTAGGCGACTTAAGTGAGTATTCGTCGAGGTTCTTGCCAGCAAGATCCAGTTTGAGGACCTTCTTGGTGAGCTGCTGTGTGGCTGCTTCCATGTTGCTGGTCTTCTCTATCTTGATATCTATGTTTCGTTGGCTGACTGCGCTCTTAGTGGACATAACCGCCTCCGACCCAGTCGTGCTTGTGTTGGTCGCTGCAGTTCCTTTGGCCGTATCCGTCATATTATTGTTGGTGATGTTGCTGATATCGTTGCCACAATTGTTGTCCTTATTTTCCTGCCGAAGATAATTCTTCTGAATATCCTTTGCTTGATGCCAATTCTCCGCTACCTGCTGCGCTTCTATTGCATCCGTTTTTGTAGTGTTGTTCTTATCAGTATGATTGTTATTGACCGCTGTTGCTTGTGTACAGCCGACAAATGGTTGAGATTCAGCGGTACCGCTTACGATACCACTGCTGGCGTCGCTCCCGCTGTTGCTGCTGTTTTCAACGACGTCGGCAGCGGCAACCACAACAACCATTGTTCGAGAGCTCAAGCTTCGCTATTTGTTTTTTTACTACTTAGCATATAAACGATTTCCGCTGACGTGCACACGCCTTTGGGATCGGTTCCGTTCTGTTGTAGGTTACGCTATCGCTTCAGTTTGCTCGATCCGATTTAATGCGATTCTATTCGATTCAATTGCCGATTGTTCCTCTTTATATTGATTCTACGTGGCTTTCACTTTGAGATTCGGTGGTCTGGCTTCGTTGGGTATCTGCAGCGTGGAAATGTCGAAACTGGCACTATGGAGCGCCACCTGGTGAGCGGTGCAATCGGTAAGTGTAATTTGGGGAAGGGTCAGTGTTAGTTGTTGCCTGCGTCTACTGGGATCGCCAATGCTGAGGTGGCTCAGATTGTCGATGATCTCAAAAATACGTCGTTGATCAGGAGATGTGAATGTAGCTTGAAATATAGCAGCTTCGCTCGTTGAAGTAGCTGGTGTAGCTCTGGATGCAGAGAGTGCGACGCCTCCGGCTGACGTTTCTGTGAGTCCACCTGATTCTGTAGTTGTACAGCCTAGATCATAATAATCACACATGCTATCCAGATGCTCTGACGGCCCCCCTTCCTGCTCCTCTGAGTCAAAGTCCTCCTCCTCTAGCTCCTGCTTCTTCTTTGTTTGCTCGTCTCGCTTGACCGACCTTATGGTTACCCAAATACCCGGGTAACCTACCTGCTCATTGGCCGCCTTGCCTCGCAAACTCTTGAGCAGCGTAAGCAGTCGACCGCTCAACTTTTGAACTGGGATCTCGCTGCGCTGCCTTGCATCAAAGAATAAGCCCGACGACGGCCTTATTGCATTACGCTCCCGCTGGCCAATCGATTGAAGGTACTTGATGTTGGCCTGCAACCCCCGTTCGTAATAGCTGTTGGCCAGTTGCAAATAGCCGTAGATGTCTAATGGCAGTTGCTGTTGTGGGCTTTCCACGAGGCACTTATTAATATTTAGCTTATTGATGAGACGGCCGCTTTCGCTGGTTTGGCTTCTGGGCGCGGGGGCCACCTGCGCCTCATAACTGCTTCTGCAATTGTTCCTCCATTGAATTCGGTGGACCAGGTAACGCAGCTGCTCGCAGCTGTGGGCAGTTTTTATGCGTCGCACTGACACGTTGTAGGTGTCGTCGGGCGGCTCACCGGAGCACACTGTCCGTCGGCCTCGCGAGGCATACGTATTATCGTCGGATCTGTAATTAGTGGAAGCACCAATTAGTCGAGGGGTACAAACATCATGGACAGAAAATAGAATGGAACAAAACATTAATTACAATGGCAAATGTAAACACGTACGACAAACAAGCGAACTTCAGCCCTCACCCGTAGTACGTAACCCGGTACCTGGTGTCGGATCTCCGCCTGCACTGGGGTAACATGATTAAAAAAAACAACCACCGCTCCTTAAGGGAAAACTGGCAGTTACTTGTTTTCTGGCTGTTTGTTTTGGTATCCAGAAAGTACTTTAATTTTTTAGGTACACAAAAATTTAGCAGATTAATTTGTCTAGCCCAAGCCCGCTATCTCAAGCAAAATTTGGTTTGATGAATGCTTACTGAACTTTCCTGTTGCCATTTGTAATTATTTTGTCTTGCTGTATTAATAAGGAAACCCCAGTATTTTCGAGTATATATGACCTTTTATAAGAGAACTTTGTTTAACAGAGTTATGTACTAGAAATGTTACCAAAACGTAAACTTGCTTCCTTTTTTTTATCTTTATTGTTTATTATACCCGTTACTCGTAGAGTAAAAGGGTATACTAGATTCGTCGGAAAGTATTTAACAGGCAGAAGGAAGCGTTTCCGCCCCCATAAAGTATATATATTCTTGATCAGGTTCACTAGCCGAGTCGATCTAGCCATGTCCGTCTGTCCGTATGAACGCTGAGATCTCGGAAACTATAAGAGTTACAATACTGGGATTAGGCACGCAGATTCCTGAGATTCCTGCGCAGCGCAAGTTTGTTTCAGTAGAGTGCCACGCCCACTCTAACGCCCACAAACCGCCCAAAACTGTGGCGCCCACAATTTTCATGCTAGATAAAAAATTTTAACTGAAATGTATTGGTCTCGTCAATACCTATCGATTGATCCAAAAAAAAACTGTATACCGCCGGTAGGTGGCGCATTTTAATCTCGCTTTGCTACTTGCATATCTCCATTTAGCTGAGTAACGGGTATCTGATAGTCGAGGTACTCGACTATAGCGTTCTTCCTTGTTTTTATTTGCAGTTTTTATTATTTCGCCTTTACCACAGCGCTGAAATTTTTTTACTATGAAACAAACGTTAAATTTAACTTAAATATAATTAAAACTAGTATCTATTTTCAGTATTATTAATCGACAGCCCGAACGACCCTGACAAATGTTTTGGAAAGGCGACTAAATTCATTCAAAAAAAAAAGATTTAAGAAAAACAACAAAATGAAATACCGCAACATAAATAATAAAATAAATGTATGCAATTAAAAAGTTGATATTATTATAACCGTTACTCGTAGAGTAAAAGGGTATACTAGATTCGTCGGAAAGTATGTAACAGGCAGAAGGAAGCGTTTCCGACACCATAAAGTATATATATTCTTGATCAGCATCACTAGACGAGTCGATCTACCCATTTCCGTCTGTCCGTTTCTACGCAAACTAGTCTCTCAGTTTTAAAGCTATCGGGCTGAAACTTTCCCAAAAGTCTTATATCTTTTGCAGGAACCAGCCGGATCGGACAACTATATCTTATAGCTCCCATAGGAATAATCGGGAAAAAATTTAAAACAAGAAAGGAAGTTAACTTCGGTAGGTCGAAGTTTTTATACCCTTGCAGTTATAATTATTAAATTTAAAAATACAAAACATGATATTCCCAATAGTATAAGATAAAATGTCAAAAAACACCGAAGCTATAATTTGTTTCATATAACTTCCCCACCAATTTTCCGATCGTTCGTAGTGGTACCACTGACCTTGCCAAAGCCTGTTTAACTTCGTTAGTCATAAATTTTAAATAATAATGCAATTGGAGCGATTCTCAGCATTTGATAAAAAAAAAAATTCATTTTGCACTGAAACAAAATCATTAAAAATGTGGGCACCAGACGTTAGACTGGCCGTGGCACTCCGCTGAAATAACCTTGCGCTTCTTAAGAACCCTACAATCTGTATACTTATTCCCAGCAATCTAGCTTTTATTTAGATTTGTCAGTTTACATTTTTGAACTACAACATTGTAAAGATATTATTATCTTAGACAACTACAACATATTTTATCCAAGCTGCGGAGATGCGTCGTAAACTCCTCGACAAGAATCGGTTTTGCTAGTACCCAACCTACATTTATGGCAAACACCGTCGAGTCCCACCCTCAAAGTCTATATATAAGGGTAAATTGCCGGTGGGCAAGGCCACCCAAAACCACCACCACCAAACCTGGGAAAGTAGTACACATGGGTTGGCCACACATCGCGGAACTGCGCATATCCTGACGTTAATGAGGCGGACACTTGAGATGTTTCCACCATGCGTATCCTCCTGCGTCGCCGATGGCCCAACGATCCGGATCCATAGCCAGATTCAAGCTGCTGCTGGTGGTGATTCTGCTGCAGCTTGTAATCCCTATAGTGATTGGCCACCTCGTGACAATAGCGCTCCGCTCGAAAGCACTTTGTATTGTATTCCCTTTTCATGGTCAACCGTGGAGAAAATTGGCGACCACTGCCCAGCGGAATGCCTTCAACGACCAGTCCGACAGAGGAGCACATGCTTTAAGGATCCGGGGAATTGGTCAGCAGACAGACGACCGTCGGAGACAATGGGACAATGGGCCGCTTTATTCCAACTTGCTCAACGGAAGCCACTAAGCGAACTACACGGATTGACATTGATGGCTCCGCCCAATCGCCCATTGTTGTTATTGGAATATGATGAGCAAGGAAGGGGAGTATGGCGCATCTAAGTTGCCCGCCGATGGGTGCTTCAAATTATGTATGTACGTTTATTGAACAACCGAACAATACAAATTCTGTTGGCAACAACAGTTTGTGGTTATTTGTTATCACGTCAGGTCGCGATTTGTTGTCGTTTGTTCGACATCGCTGAGGAACAGGGACATTAAAGAATGGTTGGGCTGTTGGATTGGTGAACCGAAACTCAGAATATCCTTTAAAATTTTTAAAGATATACAATTGCATTATTTATAAACATTGCAATATTTATAGCCACTTATTTAACCAATAGTTAAATAATAAAATATAAATTTAATAGGTATCAGGGTTTATCAGGGTATAATAAATTTAATAAGTATCAGAGTTCGATGAATTTATTGAGAACCACAGGGTATATTGAAATTTGCACATCTGTTTTCCTGCTGCCTCACCCATACAACCAAAGCCGCTTAAGCTAAGTGAGCTAGGGTGGTCCTCTCTCAATAACAAAATTAGTAGCATTCACGTCGTTAAATATTGTAACTGGAACATTTCTTGTGCCTACCCCTTGACCTGGTACAAATCGGTACAGTTTGCATATTTCGACTCACGAGAAATAACAATAACGACATAGGAAAAACAATATTAAAGAACATTAGAAAAACTGTGGAATAGGTTTTGAGGGTATATGTACAATGTAGGGCCTACAACCTAGAGTCTCGGCACAAGTCGTTGACACCATCTCAAAGATTATCTCACGCCTCACAAAAGTTTTTTTTTTAAATAAAACGTAAACGGGATGTTCATGAAATTTTTTATTTCTGTGCATGTACATTCGATGCCATTATGTATGAAACTCAATTTCTTTTTAATGGCCACCACGGGCACGCTAGCAAAAGTCCACAGGCTGAACCCACTTTTCACGGGTTTCAAGCATAAATTGTTTGATATTGCTGCAATTTTACGTTCGATACTCGTACGAAGTTCATCAACCATCGCAGCTTCTGCTCTTGCGTCAATTTGTTCTTGTAAGGACTTAGGTTAAGATCTTTTCGCAAATTCGCCACAACGATGTCACAGAGATGCCCAACGCCTGAGAATGGCATGTGAAAGACTAAAGTTGAGGCCATTGACTCCACATATCGGTAGTAAATTTTAATAATTTCGACTCATTGTTGGGCAGATTTTTTTTGAAAGTGGTCTAAAATTTAGGAAATCCCTTGCATTATTCATCTATTTACAACGAGCACATAATGCATATGGTTGTGCTTTATTTGTATACGTTTTATATTTATCATATCTTAAAATATTATGAATTATGTTGGATTTATAATTTGTTTGTTATTCGGCTAATTTCGACTCGATGAGCGGTTGGCACTAGGACAAAATGCTTAATGAATAAGATTCCAATACACAAAGTTTCTCTATACAAGGGAAACGTTTAAATAAATATAAAATTATACATTTTGATAACTACCTTTAGGTACATTTTTATCTTGAATATTTTTTAGGGTGTTCAAGCTGAATGCCTCTTTTGTCCTAGATTTATCCAACTGATGGAATCCTTTGCGAAAGCGAGTGGATGATTCAACCTATGTCTGGAAATCTTTGCTTAGACTCTTCTGATCTCTCAATATATTTTCTAATATCTCAATATGTTTCCCATGTCTATAATAAAGAACAAGGAAGAACGCTATAGTCGAGTACCTCGACTATCAGATACACGTTGTGGGCGTGGCACATTTCTGAAACAAACTTGCACTGCGCAGGAATCTCAGGAATCTACATGCCTAATCCCAGTATTGTAGCTCTTATAGTTTCCGAGATCTCAGCGTTCATACGGACAGACGGACATGGCTAGATCGACTCGGCTAGTGATCCTGATCAAGAATATATATACTTTATGGTGTCGGAAACGCTTCCTTCTGCCTGTTACATACTTTCCGACGAATCTAGTATACCCTTTTACTCTACGAGTAACGGGTATAAAAATGACCAATTAGTTAATGCACAATTGGCCACCATTGACCTAATACATGCTGACATACACACAAAATGCATCCTTGCACATATGTAAGTATGGAAATTTTTAAGGTCTTACTCTCATATGCCTAAAGGGGCGCATTGAAGAATTTAAGGTGCACCAAACAAAATTTATTGAAAAAAAAACGCGGTTAAAAAGTTTATAACTCATACGCGCTGTTGAGGTTGATCAAATAAATTATTTTCACTAGGTGACCCTGACTTGGATGCAGAGTCCGTTGTGTCTAGTTCTGTCTTTAGTTTTCCCTTCAAAAACATTTCGGTATTTGTCGTCAATTTTTTATTCATATTGACCGCGATACGAGAGTTGACAAATTTGGGAAGCGGATATCGATCTTTTTGAAAAAAGTTATAGCTGGTATACAGGCCATATATGCAATTTTAAAGAAACTGAAAAAAATTTTTATACATTTTTTGCACACTTTAGTCAACCAAGTAAAGGGGTGAAGAACAAGATTTAATTTTTTGGACCGCCCCAATGTACACACATATGCTTGTCAACAAAATTCTCAGCAAGGGAAAAACTAATTTAACGAAAAAATAATAATTAACCAGAATTGTATTATTATTTGTTACTATTTATACGTACTGTCGGAAGCAAAAGGGATTACATGTTTGCAAATGATGAGTGAGGCTTCTTCAATATTTATTAACAAATTATAAGAACATAACAAAGTAATCTTTTTCTTTTCATAAAGAAAAAAAACAAAGTCAACTTCCTTGTACTCAGTTTTGCTCTCTATTCAAAAAAATAAAAAACAAGGAAGAACCCTATAGTCGAGCACCTCGACTATCAGATACCCGTTACTCAGCTGAGGGACCAAAGGGAGATGGAGATATACAAGCAGCAAAGCGAGATTGTAATGCGCCACCTACCCGCGATCTCAATATATAGTTATTGGGGCGGCTACAGATTTAAGCGTTATGGGAGGTAAGAGTGGGCGTGGCAAACTTTTTTTTGGGTCAATCGATAGGTGTTGGACTAATACATTTCAGTTATAATTTTTTTGCTAGCATGAAAATTGTGGGCGTCACAGGTTTGGTCGGTTTGTGGACGTTAGAGTGGGCGTGACATATGCGCGTAACAAACTTGCGCTGCTCACAAGGCAACGCATCTAAATCTGAAATCCCAATTCTCTTTGATAGTTTCCGACATATCCGCGGTCATATTTACGATTTCCTGAAGTTTGTGGGCGAGAGGTGGTATGCGATCACTCCGGGTCGAAATTTGCGTGAGACCCAGGAGTTTGTGAAGATGTGCATCCGCGCAGCCAACCGTATGAATATGCATATCTCTGAGCCTCGCTACGATGAAATCAACGACGACCGTAATGGCATGTACTCTCAATCGATCGATAACGCCGTGGCCAAGGACCCACAGATAGTGTTAGTTGTGATAAAGGCTCCTAATGAAGAGAAGTGTAGCTGCATCAAAATTGCTGAAGGCTAGGTTGGACGAAATTTACAAGTGCGCAGATAAGGAGGAAAGTAATTGCATGGCATTTACCATCGTGTCAACTCGACCGACTTCGTGAAAAAGCGTAATTCACTTCCGGGCGCAGTGGCGATGATGTTATAACCTTACCAGAGCGTTATTACTTCTTTCTCAGGAAGTGTGTCAAGGAACGGGGGCGACACCAGCTACAACGACATATCCGACAACATGGGACTGAGCGCTGACAATATGCAGATGCTCTCCTACAAGATGACCCATATGTACTACAATTTCTCCGGAACTATCCGGGTTCCCGTCCTGTGCCAATACGCCCATAAATTAACATTCGAGGCCGAAAGTATTAATCGCTCGCCTTCAGCCGGATTAGAGAACCAGCTATACTTTTTGAAAACAAATGACTCTTGCTTTAAACTTCCTAACATTTTACGACATGATTTTCTATTGTCATAATTTGTATAACAACCCTTCAGTGCTGCAGTAGGCTCGGAGTGACATGTCAAACGGCAAAGCGTAGTAGCGTAGGAGACTACCGACAAAAGCGGTTGTGCAAAAAAGAAAGGCAGATATTTTGAGATTTCTCTCTCTTTCTAGCCGAACATATCGGAGAGACGCAAAATTATAAGACAAGAAAAGAGAGGGAACTTCAGAAAAATTTTCAGCTGGGTGGTGCTGTTTCGGGGTGTGCAATCTTGGGAACAGCGCTTTACTGCTTGCATATCTCAATCACCATCGCACTCCTCATAGAGGATCGAAATGTAATAACCCGAGTACCCTATTTTTTGTATCTTTTAGAATTTATTTTTAATTTGGTGTAAATATTTAAGCACTTCTTAATGAAAAATTAGATAACTGGAGAAAAGATTGAGTAGTTAGGATGAAACTTTCAAAAAATGTAATTCTTAAAAAAAAAAAATATTTTTTAATATTTTCAAATTTAAAATTAAAGTTAAAAAATTCTGTACACATGCGGCTTTCCAAAAAAAAATCCTTGTGTTGCTTCATTAATTATTCATGAAGTGGCAAAATAAAATCGTTGTGTGGGCAATGCTTACTAAAAAAACTCAAACAAAGCGTCAAAACAGCTGTTCATCATGCTTACGCCATAGTTACTATAAAAGCTGCAATGTTGGGATTTAAAATGTAGATTCTAGATATTCCTGCGCAGCGTAAGTGAAAAGCCCCCAAACCGCCCAAAACTGTGGCTCCTACAGTTTTGGTCGGTTTGCGGGCGTTAGAGTGGGCGTGGTAAATTTTTTTTTGGATCAATCGATAGGTATTGACGAGACCAATACATTTCAGTTGAAATTTTTTATCTAGCATGAAAATTGTGGGCGTCACAGGTTTGGGCGGTTTGTGGGCGTTAAA